CCCCCGCACCCCTCCTCAAGTGTCTCCCACCCTGACTGCCAGCATCTCTGCATGACAGGGCTAAAGTGTCACCTGACTCTGCCATCTCCCCAGGAGCCTCCAGATCACCGGGACCGCTTCCTCTGGGGACCCCACTTCACTTTGAGAAATTTCCCTGTCTTTACTTATAACTTATTACATATCTCTTTCAAAAGGGATATGGATTAACTTTGTTGTTGTGTAAATGCCGTCGAGTCTGTTCTGACTCAAAGTGACCCTGAATAGGGGCTTCAAGAAGTGGCTGGTGGGTTTGATCTGCCAACCTTGCGGTGAGCAGTCCAGTGCTCATCCGACAGGGCCACACCAGGACTCTATGAAATAGCTTACAACGGTTAACAAAAAAAAGAAAGGAAATCACATTGACCAGAAGACAATAAACCAAAAGTAAAAAATAGAACCTAAACCAATAAAAAATAAGTGAGCTAATTAGTGGATGTTCCGGCCCCTAAGATGGCCCAGGCCCTAGAGCTGAGGCACTGGTTTAATGCTGGGTTTCTGGCAGCTCAAAGCCAAATTGTTATTATGCCAGACTGGGCACAGGGCGACCTCAAGTCATCCTTCTGTCATCCAGTGATGGGTACAGGGGTGGGCACCTGCTCGAGGAGTGATTATATTCCTGGTAATTCATCTCAAGTGAACAGAGATGTGCCACTTGGCACCCAAACCCCCTCCCCAGAAGGGAATATGCTAAATGGGCCTTGAACCTCAGGTTGAGCTGGGGAGAGGGCACTATGCATTTAGGGTGGCCTTAGAGAAGTACACAAGGGTCTACATCCTCCCATCAGTCACTCCCACCCAAAACCAGGATTGGGGGTGGAATGTGGGGGGCTGTTAGGGGGGAGCATACTCACCAGGATACCACGGGCTTGGGATCCCCCTGTACTCGGATACTCATGGTGACATCCTGGCCTTCTCTCACTGACTGGTCCATGAGTGAGACCTGAGGCGGATGACCCCAAAGTGTCAGGGAGACAGCAGGGAACAGCCTCTGGCTCCATGGGGGTTGGGAGATCTGAGACTCTTTCATACCCACAGTCTGGCTGGGGCAAGCTTGGGGAAAGAAGGGTTAAAGGGCAAAGTCCCTGAGTCTCATGAACTACGGGGGACACAAAGGTATGGGGGTTCCCAGGGGTCTGACCTTGAAGGTGGGGGGCGCCTTGGAGCCAGTGTCAGAGGAGCGGTGGTTCTGGCTGGGACTGAGCTTCATGGTAGGGGTGGGGGGCCAGGTCTCCCCAGGCTCCGGGAACTCCTCAGGGGGGCTTAGGTACTCCTCGTCAGAGGTGATGGGGCTGCTGAGAGGGGATGAGGACCCACCTGCAGGAGAGATGGTGGCTTAGAGAGAGATGTCAGAGTGGGGGGACCAAAGGACTGAGAAAGCTAGATTGATTGGGGTGTCACAGAGGCCTGCTCAGTGTCCACCTCACGGGCTCCCCGTTCACTTGCTGTGTGACCCTGCTTCCTGAGCTTCCTCAACAATTCTCCCCGCATTAACCCTTCTGGGTGGGGCCACTCCTTGGCCTGTGGGAGACAGGGAATTTCACTGGAACAGAGCAGCCACCCACTGTCAACTACAAGCTCTCAAGGCAGGTGGCTCAGGTCTCTGGGACCCCACAGTGGCACAGCCAGGACACTCATTTCTTGGGTGAGCTGGGCCTGGTACGGAGGCACACGCACCTCACATGAGCCTCATTCTGACTGCAGTGCCAAGACCAATGAGGTGGCACTGTCCAGCCTGCCCTGCCCCCTCTCCCTTCTCAGCTTCCTGGCCCAGATACCCCAGGGGCACCTGTTGGCCCCAGTCTTGGACCACAGACCCCCAAACTCTCAGGGGATGGGACAGCAGAGCTTGAGCCATCCACAGAGAAGGACGGCTCAGCCTGGGCATAAGGAGGGGGGCACCAGTGTCCGCCCTGGAAGGAGGGGTATCCCCAGGGCCCCGACGCCCTCCCCTAAAACTGGCCTGGGGCCCAGGCTTATGGAGCTGGCTCCCCTCCAACTGCCAAATACAGACATGAATCTGCCACAGCCCCCAGGTCCCTCTTCTTGGTTCCCCCACCTCAAGTCCTTGTGGTCCAGCACCGGCAGGGTGGTACCCCAACTCACCCTGAGACACTGCTCCTGAACCCCAGCCTTGGCCTGTCCTGAAGGCTCTTCCCTGGCGCCAGGCCCTCCAGTTGCCTGCCCACCCCGTCCTGGCTCCCCGGGGACAGGAGCCTGCCTGCCCAGCCCTAGTCCTGCTACTAGGCTGACCCTGCTGAGATTCCACACCATGGGGGCCTGGGGGAGGGGCAGGAGCCTGAGGAGGGGGAGGAGGAGTTGCTGGGTGGCAGGCAGCTGGCGGGAAGGTAGTGCTGTTCAGACCACAGGAGGGGAGGAGCAGGGAGGGGCAGGGGCAGTCGGCTGTATTTAGCCACCCTCAGTCCCAAGATGCTGGGTCTGTCTTTTCTCTCCTTACAGCTCTGGACCCTGATAAGAGCAAACCCCTTGATGGTCCCCAGGAGAAGATGGGGGTGACATTGAGGCCCTGAAGACGCTTGCCTCAGTCGGTTAATTTCAACATATGCCCCCAAGGGAGGTAACAGTACAAAAGTCTCCTCTGATACCCCTTGCATTAACCAAATACCAATATCCCTGACCTGGGAATGAGCTGAGTCTTCAATTGTCCACAGTTAAGCCATGCCAAAAAAAACCCTGGTGACACAATGGGTTAAGTGCTGGGCGGCCAGCTGCTGCATGGGAGGAAGGCCAGGCTGTCTGTTCCTGTGAAGACTTTCAGCCTCAGAAGGACTATGGGGCACTTCCTGCTCTGTTCTATAGCGTCATTGTGAGTTGGCATCAACTTGATGGCAGACTTGAAGTCCTGTGTTCTCCAGGACTGAGGGTAGTTAGAGATCTCTCAGGATCCTTAGCCTCCGTTTCAGAGTTACCTCCTTCAGTAAAGGTGGTCCACATAGTCACGGTCCAGGCTCCTATCTCGGCCTCTCTATTCCTGCCCTGGTCACTGTTGGCCAGCAGCCACCCCAAGGCACTGAGCCTGCACCCAACCTTCTTACAAGCACACCTGTTGGCAATTTGTCTTTCTATCAATCCCAACCAGAGCCAACAGTCAGGAGAGGGTGCTGCTCCCCCCAAAGACTATTCAGATTTGGGTTAGGGAAGGGGCATGGACTTAGAGCAAGAGAGAAGGGGAGGTGGCCCATATATGTCCTTCTCCCTCCTCCTATCACCTCCACCCGCCAGGGCCACATTCCCAAGCTCTGACCTGTGTTTCCAGCTTTGCCAGTGAAGACAAAGGGGTGGGGCCAAGCAGCGGAGGAGGGTCCACTGTCTATCTTGATGTGGTGGGGGTGAGGGTTTTAGAAAGGGACTTTGTGAGCATCTGCTTGGAGTTGGGCGCCCAGCTGACTCTGAGGGCACAGATTAGTCCCTGGAGGTGGGTGCCCTCCCTGCCCCTGCTAGAGCCTAGAGTCCTGCTCCAGGGTCACCTCTGGTTGGACAGTGCTGAGAAGGTTCACTGGTCAGGGAGGGAGTGCAGAGCAGAGGTTCAAGAGGCTTGGCAAAGTTGCAGGGTGTTTATGGAGACTCCTGGTGGTGGTTAAGGGGAACAGCACCCTGGGGGCATCCAGTCACCATGACCGCCAAGCCCCTCAAAGAGGATTGTTAGAGCTGCCAGGCAAGAAGGAGCCTCAGGACCCCTGTGCCCCCAACACACATGTCCAGTTCCCCCAAGGCCAAGGAGGGTGCCTTACGACCTCCATCGCTGGGTTCCACATCAGGTTCTACTGTCCACCCCGCCCCCTTTAAGTTTTCACCGTGGGAAACATAATTACACCAGTTCCCCAAACCTAACATGCACAACATACACAACTAGCCCCCAACCAAGTCACCATGTAAGTATGGTCCGCTCACACTTACTCCCACTCCCATATCTGCTAACCAAAAGCTTGGTGGTTCAAATCCACCGAGAGATACCTCAGAAGAAAGACCTGGCTATCTACTTCTGACAAACCAGCTATTAATAACTCTATGGAGTAGACTGCTATGAGTCAGGATTGAGTCAACAGCAATAGGTCTAGCCCTTTTATGTTCTCAGGTCAAACTCACTTAATAAACTAGCAGGGCTTCCAACTGGTTCAAAACGGCTCAACCATAGGTGACATAAACAAGGGCAGCAGAGTGGTACAGGGCAACCAAATCTCTAGCAGATTTTGACCCAAGCTGGAAACAAACAGTGCTGTCCACTCAGAGATGGACTGACACATATTCAAAGCATCATCACTTCTACCTGTTTCCTTATTTTTATTGTTCTTGTTAAGTGCCATTGCGTCGGTTCCGAATCACAGCAACTCTGTAGAGAGTTTCTGAAGCTTTCTCGAGTCACAGTCTGCCGAGATTTGATTGTTCTGCAACGTGTACATTCTTGCTTCTGTCGGCCATGACTGAACCATTTTGAACCAATTCAAAACTCTGACAAAGCCCACAGTTGGACTCCATGTTCAAACCAGTGACTCCAGCAGTGCGATTCAGAGCATCCTTTGAGGTGTTCTCATGATAGATATTACAGTAGCCACCATGCCAGACAAACCGCTTCATAGCAAGGGCTCTCCAATTGGTCCCTGAATCCCCCACATCAGGACCACCTGGGAGCCTATTTTAAATAACCGTTCTTGAGCCTTACTTTGACCTTAGAATTAGATCTTCTGAAATGGGGGCTGGGAAACAGCATTAAAAAGGTATCCTAGGTGAGTTTTATGCACACAGAAGTTTACGGACCACTGTTGATCCTCATGGGAAGAGGAGAACCCAATGAAGTTGTACCATTGAGTCCCATCTTAATTGACCATTAAACTTTAGAGCAAGAGTTTGAACCTAGAAGGCCTGACTCCACACCCTTGTGCTTTTCTTACTGTGGACGCTTACCTTAAGCCAGGTCTGCAACTCTCTGGCCATGGTTCTCCATCCATAGTGTGCATCAGAATCACCTGGAGGACTTGTTAACACAGGGCTTCTGGGTCCCACTCCCAGACTTTCTGATCCAGTAGGCCTGAGCTTGGACCAAGAATGCACCTTTCTAACATATTCCCACATTGGCTGAAAGCAGAGAATATCACAAAGATGTTTACCTGTGCTTTACTGACTATGCAAAGGGTTTCGATTGTGTGGATCATGACTAGCTATGGACAACATTGCAAAGTATGAGGATTCCAGAACACTTAATTGTGCTCATGAGGGGATCTGTACATGGACCAAGAAAAAGTCGTTCGAACAGAACATGGGAACACTGAATGGTTTAAAATTAAGAAAGGTGTGCGACAGAGTTGTATTCTTTCACCATACTTATTCAACCTGTATGCTGAGCAAATAATCCAAGAAGCTGGGTTATATGAAGAAAAACATGGCATCAGGATTG